TCTTTCTTTCTTTCTTTTCTTTCTTTCTTTCTGTCACTGTCTTTCTTTATGTCTGTGTGTGTGTGTGTGTCTGTCTCTATTAAATAGAGATGGGGTCTCACTATATTGTCCAGGTTGGGCTAGAACTCCTGGGCTCAAGCAATCTTCCCACCTTGGCCTCCCAAAGAGCTGGGATTACAGGTGTGAATCACCACACCTGGCTGAGAGAACATTTTTATTTTTTTTTGTTAAGAGATGGGGTCGGGCCGGGAGCAGTGGCTCACGCCTGTAATCCCAGCACTTTGGGAGGCTGAGATGGGTGGATCATGAGGTCAAGAGTTTGAGACCAGTCTGGCCAAGATGGTGAAACCCCGTCTCTACTAAAAATACAAAAATTAGCCGGGCATGGTGGCAGGTGCCCGTAATCCCAGCTACAAAAATTGAAAGTAATTAGCCAGGGTCAGGTGTGGTGGCTCACGCCTGTAATCCCAGCACTTTGGGAGGCCGAAGCAGGTGGATCACCTGAGGTCAGGAGTTTGAGACCAGCCTGGCCAGCGTCGTGAAACCCCGTCTCTACTAAAAAAGTACATAAATTAGCCAGGCTTTGTGGCAGGTGCCTGTAATCCCAGCTACTCGGGGGATTGAGGCATGAGAATCGCTTGAACCTGGGAGGCAGAGATTGCAGTGAGCTGAGATCGCGCCACTGCACTCCAGCCTGGGTGACAGAGTGAGACTGTGTCTCAACAAAATAATAAAAACGGGGTGCGGTAGCTCACGCCTGTAATCCCAGCACTTTAGGAGGCTGAGGTGGGTGGATCACTTGAGGTTAGGAGTTTGAGACCAGCCTGACCATGGTGACACTCAGTCTCTACTACAAATACAAAATTAGCCAGGCGTGCTGGTGCATACCTGTAATCCCAGCTACTCAGGAGGCTGAGGCAGGAGAATTGCTAGAACCTGGGAGGCAGAGGTTACAGTGAGTCGAGATCGTGCCACTGCACTCCAACCTGGGCAAAAATAGCAAAACTCCATCTCTAAAAAAAAAAAAAGAAAAAAAAAGAGAGAGATGGGGTCTTGCCCTGTCGCCCAGACTGGAGTGCAGTGGGGTGATCTTGGCTCACTGAAGCTTTGACCTCCTGGGCTCAAGGGATCCTCCCACCTCAGCCTCCCAAGTAGCTAAGACTCCAGGCCCAGTGTGGCCTCTGGAGATATTTCTGGTTGTCACTTCTAGTGGGGAAAGGATGCTACTGACATCTCCTGGATGGAGCCCAGGGATGCCCCTGAGCTTTCTCCCGTACACAGGACAAGCCCTGACACAAGGAGGTCACAGGCCCCAGATGCCGGCAGCTGTCCCCATCTCTCTCTTTTTTTTTTTTTTTTTGAGACAGTCTTGGTCTTGTTGCCCAGGCTGGAGTGCAGTGGCAGATCTCAGCTCATTGCAACCTCCGCCTCCCAGGTTCAAGCAATTCCCTTGTTTCAGCCTCCTGAGTAGGTGGGACTACAGGTGTGCACCACCACGCCCGGCTAATTTTGTATTATTTTCTACATTTTGATATGTTACTGTAGGGAGGAGTTAAGAAATAGGCGCCAGAGCCCAAATGTTCAAGTCCCAGCCCTGCTTCTTCCCATTGTCTTTAGCAGATTCCTTCAACCCACTGGGCCTCAGGTGTCATCTGTATAATGGAGGCTAGTGATGGTTTCTGCCTGATAGAGCTGAGGAATGGAAGATGAAGTCTTAATGGGATGAAGGAACTGACAAGACAGGCCGGGTGCGGTGGCTCATGCCTGTAATCCTGGCACTTTTGGGAGGCTGAGGCAGGTGGATCATGAGGTCAGGAGTTCAAGACCAGCCTGGCCAAGATGGTGAAACCCCCGTCTCTACTAAATATACAAAAATTAGCTGGGCATGGTGGCACGTGCCTGTAATCCCAGCTACTCGGGAGGCTGAGGCACGAGAATCACTTGAACCCAGGAGGCAGAGGTTGCAGTGAGCCAAAATTGTGCCATTGTGCTCCAGCCTGGGCAACAAGAGCGAAATTTCGTCTTAAAAACTTTTTTTTTTTTAAAGAGATGGGATCTTGCCCTGTTGCCCAGGCTGGAGTGGTGTGGGGTGATCAGTGCAAGACTCCATCTCAAAAAAAAAAAAAAATGTTGTAGAAACAGGGTCTTGCTATGTTGCCCAGATTGGTCTTGAATCTTGGCCTCAAATGACCCTCTTGCCTGGGTCTCCCAAAGTGTTGGATTACAGTCATCACTGCACCTGGCATATCTGTCACCTGCTAACTGGCCCCAAACACCCTCGCACGTTCCTCCTGCATAGACATTGCTTACTCTCTGCCAGGCACTGCCTTGCCCAATGCACACACTACTTCACATGTGTATCAATGAAATCAATCAATCATGCAATCAACCCATCAAATGAATTTCACCTGTAACATAAATGATTGCTTGTAAGTCAGGTTTTGTTACTAATTCCATTGAAACAGAAGAGGAAGCTGAGGCGGGAGAGAGGGTAGTGAGTTGCTCAAGGGCCTGGTTCAGGAAGTATCAGAGCCAGGATCAGCCCCCAGCTCCACTAGACCCCCAGAAATGCCCCTGACCTTGTCCCCTCTGTCCCGTCCCCCAGCGGATCTGTACTCCGCCGAGCCTGGGGAGGAGGAGCCGGCGTGGGTGCAGACGGAGAGGCAGCAGTTCCGGGACTTCCGGGATCTGAACAAGGACGGGCACCTGGACGGGAGTGAAGTGGGCCACTGGGTGCTGCCCCCGGCCCAGGACCAGCCCCTGGTGGAAGCCAACCACCTCCTGCACGAGAGCGACACGGACAAGGTGCAGTGATGCGGCCGCGGCGGGAGCGGGTGCAGTGATGCGGCCGCGGCAGGGGCGGGTGGGCATCGCATGCCAGCCCCCAGAAATGAGTAAGACCTGGGCCTGGAGCTTAGCGTCCCTTTAGGTGTGATAAAAAAAAGAAGGACAGAGAGAGAGGAAAAGAGAGGGGGACAGAGACCCAGAGAGAGGGGGACAGAGACCCAGAGAGAGGGGGACAGAGACCCAGAGAGGGGGGGACAGAGACCCAGAGAGAGACAGAGACCCAGAGAGGGGGGACAGAGACCCAGAGAGAGGGGGACAGAGACCCAGAGAGAGAGGGGGACAGAGACCCAGAGAGAGGGGGACAGAGACCCAGAGAGAGAGGGGGACAGAGACCCAGAGATCCAAAGAGAGAAGGACAGGGACCAAGACAGGGGGACAGACTCAGAGAGAAAGGGACAGAGGCCCAGAGAGAAGGGTTCCAGAGACTTGGGGACACACTTGGATGCGGGGAGGGCTTTCGAAAGCAGGGCCGTGTTGTCCCCTCTGAACCCTGACCCTCCCTCCAGGATGGGCGGCTGAGCAAAGCGGAGATCCTGGGTAATTGGAACATGTTTGTGGGCAGTCAGGCCACCAACTATGGCGAGGACCTGACCCGGCACCACGATGAGCTGTGAGCTCCGTGCACCTGCCACAGCCTCAGGGGCCCCGCACAGTAACCCGAGCCCCGTGCACCTGCCACAGCCTCAGGGCCCCACACAGTGACCCAAGGAGGGGCCGCGGTGGTCTAGGCCCCTCCCTGTCCAGGCCCTGCAGGAGGCAGATGCAGTCCCTGGCATCCTCCTGCTCATGGGCTCTCAGGAACCCCTTGGGTCAGCTTATGTCCCTGTCATACCCCCAACCCCGGGGAGGGGCCGTCACAGTCCCAGAGGATAAGCAACACCTATTTCTGACTGAGTCTCCCAGCCCAGACCCAGGGACCCTGGCCCCAAGCTCAGCCTCTAAAAACCGCCACCAACCCCTCCAGCTCCGAATCTGAGCCTCCACCACACAGACTGAAGCTCCCCTGGCCCCAGCCCTCTCCTGCCTGGCCCGGCCTGGGACACCTCCTCCCTGCCAGGAGCCAATAAAAGCCAGCGCCGGGACCTTGTGTGTCTGTGTCTGTCTGTTGTCTGCCTGTCTCTATGAAGGGGAAAGGGGCCCTGGAGACGGTTTGGGGGCTGTGACTGGGAGTTGGGGGCTGAGGCATGCAATAGGGGACCAGGCATTTGAAGCTGAGTGTTGGAGGGATTGGAGGGCGTTCTGGGTATAAAAACAAACATCAAACAAAATTGGGCCTGGCTCAGTGGCTCACGCCTGTAATTCCAGCAATTTGGGAGGCCGAGGCAGGCGTTCCAAACTCCTGAGGTCAGCAGTTCGAGACCAGCCTGGCCAACATGGTGAAATCCTATCTCTACTAGAAATACAAAAATTAGCCGGGCATGGTGGCGGGCGCCTGTAGTCCCAGCTACTCCGGAGGCTGAAGCAGGAGAATCGCTTGAACCCGGGAGCTGGAGGTTGTAGT